CCGATGCTGGTATGTTTTCTGGTACCTTCCAGAATTGAGGATGTATGGTGTGCCAGTTATGAGAGGGGTGGTGAAATATCTACATGACTGGTTGAGAGGCAGAGGAGTGTATGTGCATAGCAAGAGGGATTAGAAAACTTGGGCAGTTGGTTGGGTTTTGGGAGCTGAACAGGGATAAGATATTTCAAGAAGAATAAATGGTTTCGCTGGTATGTTTTCTGGTACCTTCCAGAATTGAGGATGTATGGTGTGCCAGTTATGAGAGGGGTGGTGAAATATCTACATGACTGGTTGAGAGGCAGAGGAGTGTATGTGCATAGCAAGAGGGATTAGAAAACTTGGGCAGTTGGTTGGGTTTTGGGAGCTGAACAGGGATAAGATATTTCAAGAAGAATAAATGGTTTCAGAGTTGCACCAAAGTTGATGAGGGTCATGCAGTTTATCTCCTACCTTTGTAAACTTTTGGAAACTATCTGGTATGAAGAAAATTAAAACATAAAGGGGTGTGAGCAAACCATATTCAAGGGGAAGCTTTCAATGCAGAATTCATTTTACTTTCTTTTGGGAGCGGACGGGAGAGGGGGATTTATCCCAAGTTTCCTTTTAATTTAATTGAAAATAGAGTTGTTCCTGCCATGATTTATCATGTGGCAATAAGATTTATTACTACTACCAGTTTTATTGGTGTTAGTATTTAATAGTATTTTTTGTTTAGATTGCAGTAGAGGCCAAAATGTGTGGGTACTTATTAAACACAGGAAACAGTCCCTGCCCTAAAGACAAAGACAGATGAAGGGTGGGTGTAGTCATACATCAGAAAGCCAAGGGATTTGGGTGAGGCTAAGCACATCTTAGATTTTAAGCACACTAAATGTCATCCCTTTCCTTGTTCCACAATTCAAACCTCCTACCCCAACACGCTGTCTCAAATGAGTAGTTCAGTGGGATGATTAATGAAATAGATAAACAGATAATTTAGTCAGCTGGTTTATTGTTAGGAAGAAGTGACTGCTTACATGGTTTGACATTGGAGCTAATCCTGTCCATAGGAATGATTGAACTCTCAAGGACATTCATCCAATAATTTTACACTGGGTGTTTCTGATCTTTTTTAGGATATTTTCATATTCTAATGAAAGTTTTTCAGCAAAAACATGTTAATCTCAGTTTTGTTTTAATAGAAAAAATACCAGGGTAAAAGGGCAAAAACAATGAAGAGACCTATTATTTTCATGCTTCTAAAAGGTTATTGTGACAGGATGACATTTTGCAAGTATTCTTTTTCTTGATTTAGAAATAAAAGAAAATGAACTCTAATTCTATTGTGAAGGTATCATCATATAACACCCCCACTGACTCCCAGTCTTCCTATGCAGTCAACAGGAACAGTAAACTGCACATCCCTGACAGAAAGGCCACCACCTGCCACATTTCAATGCTCTACTCCAAAACATGGGGGCACTCAAAGAAGAGGTCACCAAAATGTGTTAACATTGCACATGGGTATGGAACTCCCATGTTCAAGGCCTTGTTATGATGACTACTTAATTATTTAAAAAAATGAAACAGCATTAACAGGAGGAGGTTAGGAACCCCTTCCAGAATATCCCATAGACCTGTACGTAGGACACTTTTCTGAAACATGGGAATTCCACTCAAATCTTTTCCACAGAAGCCATAGGGGAAAATTGAACCCAGAACTTCCACATCCCAGGTACCATAACCACAGGGCTAAAAGTTATAAAGGAGGGTGACATCCATCTGAGTAATGTATAGAAGGAAGATACTTGGACTCATTGGGGAAATGTGTTGAGGCTAGTATTGGCTGCTGTAGCTGATCCATTACTATTTGGAGTAGTAGGAGCCAAATCTGCTTGGATGCAAATCCGAAAACATTCTGAATACCACCTCCAGTCTGGGAAGTCTTGCCACAGTACAGGTTATGCCTACCTCCAGGTCTGAACCTTCAAAAGTCCAGGGCCTTTCTCTGTATGCTTAAGAGCCAGTGGTAAGAGATCATGCTGATTAGGTTTCTGCTGCAGCATTATCTCTAGTTCTGGCCACTAGATTTAAGGTAAATGTGGACAAATTGGAATAAGTCCGGAGAAGAGAAACAAAAATGATTAAACATGTAGAAAACATGACCAATGAGAGAAGATTGAAAAAATGGATTTGGTTAGTCTGGAGAAGAGAAAACGCTGATTGTTACAAGGAGGAAGGAAAAAAATGACTTTAATCTCTGAGTCTAGGACTAGCAGTAAAGGGTTTAAATTGTAGTAAGGGCAGTTTAGGTTGTACACTAAGAAAAACTTCCTATTTGTCAAGATAGTTAAGCACTGAAATAAATTGCTGAGAGGTTGCTGACTCTACATCACTGGACATTTTTAAGAACAGGTTAGACAGACATCTGTCAGGGAGGGTCTAGATGGTCTTGCATGGTCCTGCCATGAGTGCAGGGACAGATCTAGAAAACCTCTCGAGGTCCCTTCCAGAATTCTGTTATTCTGTGATTATGGGTTCCTCGTGATAGAATAAAATTTCTAGGGGTCACAATGTCCAAGATAACACTGTGGCTATAAAGCAGGCTGGTTCACAGAGCATTCATCAAGGGGACATTACTGTTTCTTTCACAAATGTTCATTTTTAGACAATTCTTTGTCAAAATTGATATTTTTTTATTCAGTCACAAGTTTGGTTGACAAATGTAACTGAGTTGACATCTATTCAGACTTCTGTAAGACTTTGACTAGTATCAAAACTAGCACTATACAAAATCAGTTTAGCACAAAAAATAATTGTAAATGGAGACTCACCATCTAGTTGGGAGTCTTTTTAATGGGGTCCTATATGGACCTGCTCTTGGTCCAATATCATTGAATGTGCTTATCAGTGATCCGGAACAAGTATGAAACCACTGTTGGTAAAAATTACAGATGACACAAATTGATGGAGTAGTAAATAATGTGGACAGGTCAGATTTACAGAGGAAAGTGGATTATTTGGGAAGTTCAGCACACTTAAATGACATGTGCTTTAATATAGCTCAATACATGGTCATATATCAAGAATGTAAGTCACATTTACAGGATGGGGTACTATATGTTGGAAAGAAGTCTTATAAAAGGTTTTAGAGGTCATGGTAGATACCAACTAAATATGCAGTGTGGAGGCTGAGGAAGCAAATGCTTTCTTTGAATACCTAGCAGGGAAATTCTGAATAGAAAGAAAATGTGTGTAGTTCTAGTATCAACACTTAAAGATGTTGAAAAATTGGAAAAAGTTCACAAAAGAGTTACAACAATGATTCAGGGTCTGAACGACTGGCCTCACAATGACAAACTAAATGTTCAGTTTTCCCAAGAGAAGGTTAAGAGTTGATTGTAAGTCATGGTCTCTAAGTACTTAGTTGTATTCTGATAGTGGAGGGCTCTAATCTAGCAGATGAAGACTTAAAATTCTAGTAACTAGAAGCTGAAGCCAGCTTTGCCAATTCCAGCCCTTCAATGATATAATACCTAAACCCCTTCGTCGTATCTGATGGGGGAAACTTCCTGTCACCAGAACACCCCACCTCTATGAATTGACCTACCCTATTGTTACACCTCTGCCTCAACAAGAGTGAACTTTGCTTGAGATTAGAAGTTCTGTCAGCTCCTTTCTCCACCCGTCTGTCTTCCTCACCAGCAAAGTCCTCAAGATTCTGCCAGCCCAAGGCATATCTGAACAATTAGCAAACTACAGACCGTGAGCTCCTAAAGAGATGTTTCTCTGCAGTGCACATTTCCTACCCACTCTCCATTCACAGAAGATATTAAGTTCATTACTCTTTTAAACAGTTGGTACATTACAGTTTATCAACTTAACTGGGATAGGCATGCCCTGCCCTACCCTACCCTTCCAATACTGCACTGTGTTTTTTACTGGTTTACAGTAAAATAAAATAAAAAAATTTAAATCAAGTTTCTTAACAAAAGTGGTGTCAGATAGAAGGAAAAAAGGATGAAATGGTTACAAACAAACAAACAAAAGTAAAAGTACACTTGCTAATGGCTAAAACCTAACTACATGTGCTATAGTCTTTGTTCAAGGTAGTTTCCTCACCAGTCTTGCATTCCCAGCAATAGCTGACTATTAGCCAGGATCCCACAGACTCCAAGGTATAGTTTCCCTTGTCTCCTCAGGTGAAGGATAATCCAAGGTTTTTCAGTGTCATCTTAAAGCTTAGAATCTGCTTTTGTTTGCAGGATCAAATTGTTTACAGGATTCAATATCCTGTATCTTCAAAAGGGGCTGACTCCATTTTGATTAAGAGTACACTTAGTGTGTGTTCCAATATGATGCTTCCTGATGCTATTTTACAATGTAAATGTTTTCTTCCTGAAATCTATGATACAAATGAATAGCCCATTGAATTTGACAACATCTGGTTTAAGGTGTTGACCTCTTCACTTTGTCTGGAGAAAGCCTGCTTATCAACTCCCCTTAGCCCCTGAAATACCTGGTTTAGTCTTTTAGCCTTTAGTCACAGACTCTAAAGCATAATATCAGTGAATGTCTATAATTTCACACATAGCACTATCACATACATTGCACAATAATATTATTGATCAGCGTGTCCAGATTCATGGAGACAAAACTCTTATCAGGATTTTTCTCGACCTCTATGTGAACTGACAACTCTAAGTGAATTTATTAGCACATAGATAGATGGAATCGTTTATCTTTATTTTGGTTCTTTTTTCCAATTAAATGTTTTTTGTTTGCATACTGTATATGTAAAACTATTGTCCTTTTTTTCCTTTCTGGGGCTGGCAGTTTTTCGAATATACATCCCATAATGAAATACGTTACAATACTCGGCAGCCTGAAGCCTGTGCAGCAGTTGATTCTGGGACTGACTATTTGACAATGTACTTGTGTCAAGACAATATTCAAAATATTCCTGAAAATCAAAAATTTGTTTTCAGAGAGGTAAGTACGTCAATTTTTTAACTTTATTGTTTCTGTTCATTGTGTAAGCAGCACAAACCCAGTAATTGGACTGGGGTGTTACATCCAGAGGTCTTAGATCTTGGTGAGGCGTTCAGAATCTTCAATTTGAATATTAGTCTTCTTGCCTGTAAATAATAGAGATGGCAGCAATATTTGAGGATCCTCCTTCCTCTGTTCTGTCTTGAAAAGAAAAAATAGAAGAGGAATCACCCCATGGCTGACACCACTCTTCCTTAGCCTCAAAGAAATGAAGTAATTTGTGGATAATTTTTCACTCCCTCCCTTATATAAAGAGTGTGATCATTTGTGAGTTCCTTAGGACTGTCCTCACTGTTATATTCCGGGCTGAATAGCCACAGGTACTTGTGTCTTTCCCAGCAAGTCTTCTAGTAGCTAAAAATCAACCCTCTTTAGCCTGTCCTACATGTGGCTGCCTACTCCTTTTAGAATTGTGTGTGAGTGGAGATATGGCAAGGAATAGGACATTAATATCTGCATGCAGGGTAGCCATAGCAGGTGACAAAATGCGTGGTATGACCCAAGCAGAATAACTTATTACTATTATTATTATGAGTGTTTTTGGCCATGGAGGGGGAAAAGCATAAGAGATTATAATGCTATATCAGGTACATTTAGTTCACAGTTTTGTGATTTCCTTCTCAACTATCAGAGCTAAGAACATGATTATATTTTTAAATGAAAGCTGATATCCTATGGCATTCCAGTAAGTATCAGATATATTAATTCAGTTACTAACATTGTGATTTTTAGATGGAAACCATTATGATGAATTGTCTAAAAATCCAAAATAATGCTACTGTGTGTAAAAATATTTTACCTCTTAAGTGGTACTAACATCTGCAAGCGAGCCCATTTCCAAATAAAAAAATCCATCATTTTCTTGTTGTATGAGTACAAAACAGGTGCAACTAAGAAAATAAATCTTAATTTGTCCACTTTTGGATGAAGAGTCATGGAATGGCTGGGGTGGGGATCAGTTAGTGGGGATATGTGTGGGGGGAAGTCTGGGGAAAAAAGACTTAGGAAAACTGGGACTTTGAGATGAACGTAATCTCTCTGTGCTGATGGTGCCTGATTGCAGGGTCACTCAGTATCTCTAGCATTCCTGTCTTGGTACCTCGAGCTGTATTATATTGGCATTGTGAGGCACCAGCACTGGGAGAATATTTTAGGTGTTTGTGCCTCCGTCCTGAACCTCACTCATTTTCTCCCTCCCTGTCTCTTTGCTTCTATTCCCACACTTATACAGCAGTGTGTCCACTCACATCCCTTGTGTCCCAGCCTTCCTTTAACCATGCCACTGTCTTTCAACCCCATTTACCCACCACAATAATATCTCCACCTCCATCCATACCAGTACTTTTAAGTTGTCCCTGCCATTCTCACCCTATCTTTCTGTGACTCAAGGCTTCCTTGCCAATTCTAAGGTCCCTGCTGCCTCTGCAAACCTTATGCTTCACTCATTCAAGTCCCCACTCTCACTGCCCTCTCCTGTTGCCCACCATTCTTTGCTGCCTTCCCTTGTCCAAAGCTCCCTTCCCTTTACATTCAAACACATACTCTCATCCCTCAATACAGTACTTCTATTACCCTCACCTTGTCCATATCCACAGCATCTCCTGCTGCCATACCTACTTCCTTCATCCTCTGCATATACCAAGGCTGCCCTGCCGCCCCATGGTCCCTTTTACCCCAGCAGTCCTTTTATCCACCAATATATATCTCCCACATCCTGCTGCACAGGAACTATCCCTGCTCCCCCAGCTGTCATATACAGGCAGTCCTCGAGTTACGCGGATCCGACTTATGTCGGATCCGCAGTTACGAACGGGGTTTGCTGCCCGTCTCCCTGGTCTGCTGGAGACCAGCAGACCAGGGAGACGGGGAGCAAAGCGGAGCAAAGCCGCGGAGCACGCTGGCAGCGGGAAAGCCACAGCGCGTCTGGGCTGTCCCGCTGCCCCCGTGCTCCGCGGCTTTGCTCCGGACGCCTGTGGTACAGCAGCTGTGATGCTGCCAGTTGGTCCCGTAGCGCCGCTCTGGGCGCTACTGGACCACCCCGGCAGCACCCCAGCTGCTCTGCCCCAGGCGTCCTGATTCAGCCGCTGCTGAAACTGACCAGTGCTGACTACAGGAAGCCCGAGGCAGAGTTGCTCTGCCCCGGGCTTCCTGGAATCAGCCGCTGATCAGTTTCAACAGGCTGAATCTGGATGCCAGTTCTTACATACAGATTCAACTTAAGAACCCCAGGCGTCCCCAAGTCAGCTGCTGCTGAAACTGATCAGCGGCTGATTCCAGGAAGCCCGGGGCAGAGCAACTCTGCCTCGGGCTTCCTGTAGTCAGCCGCTGGTCAGTTTCAGCAGCGGCTGACTTGGGGACGCCTGGGGCAGAGCAGCTGGGGTGCTGCCGGGGTGGTCCAGTAGCGCCCAGAGCGGCGCTACGGGACCAACTGGCAGCATCACAGCTGCTGTACCACAGGCGTCCGGAGCAAAGCCGCGGAGCACGGGGGCAGCGGGACAGCCCAGACGCGCTGTGGCTTTCCCGCTGCCAGCGTGCTCCGCGGCTTTGCTCCGCTTTGCTCTCCGTCTCCCTGGTCTGCTGGAGACCAGCAGACCAGGGAGACGGGGAGCAAAGCGGAGCAAAGCCGCGGAGCACGCTGGCAGCGGGAAAGCCACAGCGCGTCTGGGCTGTCCCGCTGCCCCCGTGCTCCGCGGCTTTGCTCCGGACGCCTGTGGTACAGCAGCTGTGATGCTGCCAGTTGGTCCCGTAGCGCCGCTCTGGGCGCTACTGGACCACCCCGGCAGCACCCCAGCTGCTCTGCCCCAGGCGTCCTGATTCAGCCACTGCTGGTCAGTTTCAGCAGCGGCTGAATCTGGATGCCAGTTCCGACTTACATACAGATTCAACTTAAGAACAAACCTACAGTCCCTATCTTGTACGTAACCCGGGGACTGCCTGTATACATCATAGCTCACAGTTCCTTGCTATCCCCCCATTTACAATGCCCCATAATCTCCTGCTTACCCCGAACCCTCACCACTCTCCCCGTATAGTCCCCGCTACCTTTCCCATCACAACAAAATGTGCCCTACATTAAAATGTGCCTGTTTTCCATCTGAACCTCTGGCAGTGTAATATATGGATATTTTAACAGGTATTTGGAGTCTGTCAAAATGGTGCCATCACCCCACTTTTCGTTTTCATCCCAGAGGAGGGCACCTTTTGATGTGCTGCTGTTTCCACTGCTAGAGCCTTTCCCTGCAGTGAGAAAAGGCTCTAAGAGTGGAGAGGCAGTAGTTGGCCTAGAGCACTGCTTGGGCCTATAGTTGTGTCGGGTACATACTAACAGGGTCCGGGTGTATATTTACTCACCTAACCAGGACCTTACTGTCTATACTGTTATTTATACCCATGCTAGTGTACGTACTCTGTGCCAACATAAGGACTGTGCAGTGTAGACATATCCTAAGATGACACACATTGAATGACACACGTCAGAAAAGCAAGATTTGGAAAAAATGTGATTTGAAATGCTTCAAGGTTCAATGTATTCAGAAGCATTAATTTTTAAAACTAATGTATTGATTTTGAGCCACTAAAATCCTCTGCCATGGCTATTGACTTGATCACATCACTCCCTTCTTTAGTCCCTCCCCATCGTCTGTTGCATTAGATTTAAGCTACACTCACCATCTTCAAGGCTTTCTGTAAATCTCTCCCTCCCTCCCTAACTTCCTTTGTTGAGCTTCAGATGACCTTGTGCCACAACTACTGATGATAATGCATTTGTACTGGGGATTGTTATTAAAAAATTTATCCAACTGAATAATGTGGTGTGACAAGGCAGCACTGATGCTATAATTAAGGTTGGGCTCTTTTTTGCATTTAAAATAGGGGCCTCTTTTGGAGGGGTCTGCAGTTAGCAGATGAAAAATGTGGTTTACATTGCTCCTTCCATTCTCTGGTGCAATATTCATAAGCCTTTTTGAACAGGTTAGGAGAGGAATTAGAACACTGGCATTTGTCATATGCCCCTATGTGATGTTTTTTGCATCCAACACTAAGATGCTCAAGATGTAGTATGGAAAGTTCTACTCTTTCAGGGGAAAAAATAGGACAGCGGTAAAATTGGGGGATAGAATTGATATGAAACTCTAACATTGCACTGATTTATCAGAGCATGACGACAGAGGTCATAGTCTGTCATTAAAAAAACATTTAGGAAAAGTTTATATATGGAGGGAAAAATGCATTTTGCAGAGTAGAGGCATAATTATGGGAATCCTTAATGATGTGAATCAGAGTTTGTAGAATCATTCTGTAGAAAAATGAAAGGAACAGAATGAAGAAGAGATGAGGCTGAAGTTTGCTACCGGAGCAGAATTAGGATTGTTTGTTGCATATTTGTTTATTATGTTTGTTACATTCATTGCCTAAAGATGATGCATTTTATAAGCTGCTGTGAAGTAGCTGTACTGTTTATCAACAGAACTTAAATGTTGTCTACCTAGATATTTATGTTTGTGATGCTGGTTGTTCACCATGAGAAACCTTAGCTATTGGACATCATAGTGGTCTTAGAATCATAGAACCATAGAACTGGAAGAGACCTCAGAAGGTCATCAAGTCCAGCCCCCTGCTCTAGGTAAGACCAATCCCAAATAAATCAACCCGGCCAGGGTTTTGTCAAGCCGAGTCTTAAACACCTCTAGGGATGGAGACTCCACTACTTCCCTAGGTAACCCATTCCAGTGCTTCACCATTCTCCTAGTGAAATAGTTTTTCCTAATATCCAACCTGGACCGCTCCCACCACAACATGAGACCATTGCTCCTTGTTCTGCCATCTGTCACTACTGAGAACAGCCTCTCTCCATCCTCTTTGGAACCTCCCTTCAGGAAGTTGAAGGCTGCTATCAAATCCCCCCTCACTCTTCGCTGCTGCAGACTAAATAGACCCAACTCCCTCAGCCTTTCCTCATAAGTCATATGCTCCAGCCCCGTAATCATTTTGGTTGCCCTCCGCTGGACCCTCTCCAATGCATCCACATTCAATGCGTCTTGTATGTGGATATTCAATCATTCCTGTAAATCCAAAAGACACAGATTTTAACCTTGTCATCAGGCTTCTTGGATTCAATAGATTCCCCCTGAGGGGAAGTATAAGTTTAGATGTAGTTAAGATGTAGATAAGTTAGATGTTTCCTGTTACATATCAAATATGGTTAAATTGAATGAATAACTATAATTTTAAGACTGTTTTGTAAATAATGTTCTACTATCTTTTGTAGGATGGTACTTTGTTCCATGTACAAACCCAGAAGTGTCTGCAAGCTGAATCTAACTCTTACAATGGCAATCCAGCACCGTTATTGCGACCATGTAGCAATTCAGAATACCAAAAATGGTTCTTCAAAGAAAGAAGTTGATCCAGACGTTATCAACTGTGTGGGTGAATATGAAAATGTTAACTTTGTAGTCAGCAGCTAGGAAACCTTTTGAAAAATTTCATAGCCGATCTATTTTTGTATGAAAAGAGTTGTGACTTGTTTACAAGTTTGTAAACCTTGTTTTCGGGAATACTAAAAGGCATTAAGTTGTTGAACAGGCACTGTGAATATACTGTGCTGCAGAAATCTCTTCCACTGTTCTCTTTATTTGGCAGCTATACTGTTTCTAAAATGTCTTATGGTTTTTCACACATGACTTATATTTTTAACCTACTGTGTGCAAGTAAGGAAGTGAAAGTAATTGCACTAATGCTATCTGGCATTAACTTTAAAATGTTTATTTTTCTAAAACGTTCTACAGTTGTGCCTTTTTAAAATATATTAGCTAACGGTTCTTTTTTTAAATTCCAAAAATGCAAACTTAGGTTAAAATCTGCCCTGAGATGTGAAAGTCAAGCAGAGCTCTCATTGAAGTCAATGTGGAATTTGCATGTCTACAGCTCAAGACAGACTAAGTCCTAATAATATTGCACAAATGATACTCCAGATTGCACGTATTTGACTGAGTGTCATAACATTTTAAATGTTCGTGGTACTTGACAGATTCTTAATAAAGCTGCTTCAGGTTATCTTCACAGTAAAATTAGTGATTATTTACTGATCTTTCATTAATCTAAGAAATAAAGCACCAATATTAAAAATGACTAGTGGAAAAATTAAATTGATTTGGAGCCCCATCTTAAAAGTGTGTACTACGTACTTTAAATTAAAGTTCTGCATGCTCAAATCATGCAACATCAGATTCATAGTAATAATTACAGACCCTGAAACTTTAATTCAAAGGTCACTTTTTAAGCAAATGAATGTCTAAATAAAAATGGATATCTTTCCATTTCATTGATACTGTTAATATGTTCCTTTTCTTAAAAAAATGTAAACAAAAATTGTTTTGTAATTTAAGTAATAAGTTTTGTAATTTGATGCTAATCTAAATATTTGTCTTCATGATTATCATTGTTTTCTAAGAATATCCATTACGAATAACAAGCTGTTTAGTTCATCATGTACATTCCGGCTGAAGGTCTGGATATTCTATTAGCATCTATATGAGATGTTGTCTGCTTAGAGCATAGGAATTGCCATACTAAACCAGACAAGTGACCATAATCCAGTCATTTGTCTTTGACAGTGGTCAGCAATAGATGCTTCAGCCTACAAGGCACATGTTTTCCTTATCTGTCAGGTCCACCTATGTACTAAAGCATGAGGGTTTATATTTCTTCCATACTACTTAAATTTCTTCTTTTGTCCTAAGTTTTGTAAATATAATTGTTGTCCATATAAACATCCATACCTTTTCTGAATCCTGGTGAACTCATGTCATCTTTACATACTTGTTTTATGATTGTTGAGGACTCTGCCTTTAGGGGATATGCATGTAGGTTCTCCAAAAATTGTTGCCAAACTTATGTTTTATAAGCACCTTTACAGTTCTGCCTCTGGGGTTTTGGTAGATGAAACTGATATTAGATCTAATAAAATAATTTGTGAATTAATAGCTTAGATACTCTTTTTTTGTAAGTATTTCTTTCTTGCGGTCTCAGTACTTTTAAAATTTCTCTGATTTTGGCCCTGATCCTTCCAACATTTATAAACATACAGGAAAAGAAAACTGTTTTATCTTACTCTTGTTAGTCCTTTTCCTTATAACCTCTCACCTTCCTCTCTCTGTTTGTATATGAATTGCACTAGTTTTAGTCACTGACTGGATCCCAAATTAGTGCAAATTACCACTAACCATTTATAACTGCTTCCTTACCCACTTAGATATTGCCATTTAGCTCACTATTGAATTTGGCCCTTGATATCTAAATATCTACAAAAAAATAGTGTAGTGGCTTCAGTCCAGTATATACAGTACAAGAACAAATAAAGGAACTGACTGAGTGTGTGAGAGAGACAATCAGTAAAAGCTTCAGGTAGCATCATAATAGTTGTGAATGGAGTAAATAGAGGCTCAAATTCAGCACTTTGGTTCACTGGCTAGGAGCACTTGTGTTGAGTTTTTTAAAATACCATTCTGTTGGAGCTGCATCAAAACCGGATGTTGGCATGAGAGAGGTGTTAATATTAAAGCAAGATTATGTGGTCACTTCTGTTTCCCCCTGATACTTTTAAAATTGTATTATTTCATTCAGCTAAAGAGCTAAATATTACAGTCTAAACACGTACAGATCTCCCATTGAAGTCTGTGAGTTTTCATATAGTTGGGACTTTAAGATTTCACCTGTAGGTGATGGTATGCAAATAAGATGAATTAAAAACAGACTTCACAACAGAATTGTACAGCGTGAAATCCTGCTGCCTTAGCGTGAACCATCTGTTAAGAAAAGCACTGAGGTTTAAGTTTACAGTAACATAAAATTGTATAAAACTTCTGTTTTCTCACCCTGCAAATCCTCTGGTTTGAGGAAACAAGTAGGTAATTATACACAAATCCACCACAGAAGCTGTCATGGGATATGTATTAATCTATAGTGATTGTCCATAATTTTGGTAGCACCAGTCTTTTCATTACATTTAATGCACTCCAGGATCTTGGGACACTTTCACCGAATCACTTTGTTCTGTCTATAGCCATGGCATGCAGCCTGTTCTCTGACAGATTTTAGCTAGTGACCCTCGGGTATTCGTGTGCCAGGCTCCCTGTTGTTTCTCTTTTCCCTCTCTTGCACCAGTAGCCTAGTAATGTGTCTGGCTAAAAGATATGGGCACAGTCCAACATCTGCCAGGACAGAGTGTGCCTTCAGCCAAATTGTAAGATTCTGTTCCCTTTGAAGGAGATCATGGCTGACTGGGAGTCAGTCCTTCAATAAATGGTATGGGTTGAGAACTCTTGGGGTACGTCTGCACATCAAAGCTATTTCAGGATACCAGAGGTATCCCAAAATAGTTACCCCACGTCTTCACAAGCCACCCATTAATTTGAAATATTTTTTGAAATAATGGGCATGCTATTTTGGCATCCTGGTAACCCTCATTCCATGAGAGTTAAGGGATGTATCAAAATAGCCTTTTTTGAAATAAACTCGAAATAAGTACACAATTTGTATAGTGCAAATTGCGTATCTTATTTCGAGTTTAGAGTGCAGTGTAGATATAGCCTTAGTCTCAACACATTGGTGGAGAAGGGACAGATGTATCCTGGGGAAAGATGGAGTTGAGTCCTATAGACAAGACTGATGCCAACTGTGGAGCAAAGTCGAGCCTTGTGGGGCATATGGCCAGATTGTGGATGAAGGGGATCCACCCTGTATGTGCTGTAGCTGTCATGTAAGGAAGTAAGATATGCCTGCAGAAACTAAAGGTCATCCTCTATTTTGAAACAGAGGGTTCTGGATAGGCTTTGACTGACTGAAACTTAAAGCAACTTCTTGTTGCTGTGCTTTGTAATATATAAATATAAAATTGTTTAAATAGAAGCTCTCCGCGTACTGATAACACCACAATCTGCATGTGTATTGTGGTGGGACCATTAAACACTATTTTTATCCTCCCACATATGGATATAACCGGAGTCATGCTACAGATGATTTCAGCCATCCTAGGACCTTCTTTCCTGGGATGCCTGTTCATTATTGTAACATTAAAAGTGATTGAAAAGTGAAGACCAGAAATCAGTCTATTAAAAATTAATAATTAAAAATGTTCCATAGCATGTTAACTTGACTATGCAGGCAACCCCTGACTTGCGACGTGATTGGTTCCTGGGGAAACGTTGCAAATTGGGGGTTTCGTAACTTGAACCCGCATTTACGATAGGCACCGTGCACTGTTGTAAATGCAGGACCAGGACGTAAGTTGGGGTTTTTTGGCCCCTTCCGTACTTACAAAAATGGTCGTAAGGCATGGGTTTCCTGTACTGCAGTACAGTGTATGTAGTCCATAAAGTTGCACAGTTGAAGAATCAATACAAATCCTATATATTGACAATGTTGAAAAATTAACTTCAGTATGACAACCTTAACTTTCCATCAGTGTAGTTTCTGTATGCCTCCCAAGTTAATTTAGAGTAGTAATAGAAGGAATGTTGTCAAAATCCTCAGATGAACAATATCTAAATCATAACAAATTAATGTCTACAAACGGAGTATCTTTTAGAAACTGATCTCATAAGTTATTACTACTAGATGTAATGCTTACAATCATGAGTTGCCCAAATGAGTTCTGTGAGAGTCTGTCAGAAACACTAACAACAAAATATTTCAGCACTGGGTCCACTGTGTGGGAAGTAAAACATAATTGGATGTGGAAATGAAAAGCCTGGTGCTACCAAAATTATGGACAATCTCTATAGATTAATACATATCGCCACATGAAGTACATCAGAAAATTCTAACTTAAGCATAGTCTGTGCTCAGAATGATACTTTCAAACATTATAATAATGGTTAAAATGTGAAGATAGCTTGGAATTATCAATACATTTTCCTTTTTATGGTTTTTGCATTCATCCATTTCTGAATTGAGCGCAAAAGACAGAATACCTTTCTAAGGTAGAAAAAGTGTCTCCTTCCATCTGCCTGCACTCAGAAATGACAAAATAGATTTTCCTCATGTTTTCAGGGGAAAAATACCTTGGACTGAGACTAGGCATGAGAATTTTCAGCTCAAACAGGATTCTCTGCGGAACACTTATAACCCTGTGAAAATAGAGATTTAGAACGGATAGAGTAGCCTCTGCTTTCATTACAGTCTCTGTTCATTTTATAAACATCATGAAGAAAACAGTCTCTCTAGTGAAGTAAGATGTTTTACACACATGCAAACCCTAGAAGACCTGCCATTTTTTCTGGTTGCTTTTATCCATGACTGGAGAAATATACTTTCAGGGAGAGTAAGGAGAGAAAGTCACCTTTCAAAGACCTTGTTTATTGAAATCGGTGGTTTTCAACCTTCTTTCATTTTTGGACCCCTAAAAATTTTTAATGAAGGTGAAGACCCCTTTGCAGGGCCATCTATAGGATTTATGGGGCCCTACTCAGTAGTAATCAACTGGTGCCCTAAGTCCAATGGCAGCTTGGCAGTGGTGGATGATTTAAAATATGATTTTATAATCTTCAGCAATACACTAATGAAATGTTTTTAAGCAAATTTTAAACTAAGGTTCTGTAAACCTTACAGTAAATTCAGAAACTGACATTATATGCCTGGGGTTGGCAAATGCCTATTAAGTGGCTTCATTTACTTCATTCACTTGAATGGCTCTTTGACAGGTTCAGTGTTCTACTAATAGGTCTCACAGGCTTTTCCACTTTAAAGTTAATTAGATCCTCTCTGGTGGAAGCAGAGGCACAGAACAGGGGTAGGAAGAGATGGGGAGTGGACATTAAGACCCAGTGGTGCTCCAGATTTTCAGTTGCCTTATGCATCAGTATATTCTGTGTATGGGTAAAGACAGCCCTACCCCTTTGGATATCTGAGACTTAGTCTGCTGATTCTAGGTTGGAAACTACTGTTTTGTGATAACACCTTTTCTCATACTCCTTAGACATAGTCTGTCGATCCCTCAAGATCCCTGGACCACATGTTGAAACCACTGGTATAGATTATTAAAAGCTTCTATTGTGGGAATGCCATTTAAAAGGAGACAGAAGACAGTATCTGGCCTTATCCACTACCACTTATAGTGATGAAGCTGGCAAGTAGCCAAATGCCAGGCAGGTGGAGTCCCTTTTCTTGAAACTACTCATTAGAAATCCATAAGTAGGTAAGGGTTAATTGCTCATGATCAGGATATACTCATGGATCCTGGGTCTTCTATCCTACATTCTTGAAATCATTGGCCAATTTATTTTACATGTTTATTTTTCTTAGTTCTCTCTTCTCTGTTTTCTCTTAACAGAAGCTAACACATCATAGAGTTGTGGGCCTTGGATACACTGAGGGAAGGAGTGGTTCTGTACATCAAAAATGGGAAATAATCCCATTATTAAAAACAAAACATGAGAAATTACTAGTCTCCACAGAGCCACTCATGAGTGACCTGTCATACTGGAGAATTGTTGAAGTTTATATGAAAACACTGGAGCTATAAAAGGGTTCCTTGTACTGTGCAAGTCTACAGTGAATTAGAAGCAATGTATCCCATTTGATGTGCTAACACAGTGTTTCTCAACCAGTGGTAGGAGTACTCTTAGGGGTACTCGAGAGAAGTCTGGAGGGTAAGTCAACACAACTGAGATTTGGAGAAAACTGAATTTTTGTTTTAAGTTTTACAGTGCTTTACTTTTTTTACTTTTTACACCCAAAAATGTCATCACCTGCCTGGCTACAATTAAGTTGTTTAAACAAATGTGTTGCAATGATAGAAAAAAAAATTGTGTGTCTGAAAACTGTAGGTACTGGGGGTACTTACAATTTATTTATTTTTTTGAAAAAGGGGTACTTTATAAAAAGAAAAGGGTTGAGAAACACTGTGCTAACACAAAGACTGGGAAACTGTATTTTTATTGTTGTTTTGTGTATATTCAGTAAATATTTCTGAAGAAGAGGAA